TGGAGATGGGTGGGTTTAGGGGTGGAGATGGGTGGGTTTAGGGGTGGAGATTTTCTCAATGATGGTAAATTATTAGTGCTTAAAAGATGTATTTAGATTTTCTTCTAGTATTTCAAAGGAAATGAGCTGTGTTCTGACCTGAAGCACAAGAAAAGCTCAATTTCTTACGAAAATTAATAATTTTCCAAACCTAACTAAATAACTGGAGGCAGAGTTATTTTTAACTCCATGTAGATCACAAACCTCTGAAATCGGTTGATAAATGTAAACGTTATCGTGTTTTTATCTAGAAAAAAAACGCAGCTCCCCCGTTTACCTCTATTTATTTTTAAGGCAGTCTTGCCCTCACAAACATGGCGGACGCGTTGACGTATCGCAGCAACGGCTCAAATCGGCCAATGAGGCGTCTAAACGTCACATTTCTGAAGCGTGAAACATAAACCACACGAGCCAACTCAATAAATATGACGACACGCGATAGAAGATTTGAAAAGACAAACTGTTTTTTAGTATATGTCAACATAAACACACATCGCTAGAACACATCTAATTAACATTTATAATTAATATTCAGCTGAAATGTTGTTAAGAACATGTAACAGAACGATGTGTTTAAAGAGAATAAAAAATATATAAAAATTAGATTGGTCCTGCCTGTTCTTTATTAATTCCAGTGATGACGTTCTACTATGTTGTCCGTTGACGCTGTACGTAATAATGTCACTGGAATTCGAGTGATCACTGTCCCAACGTGCAGGGTACATACCAGTGACCGAATTTTTTAATATCTCTTTTTGATATTATTTTTTATTCTCTTTAAACACATCGTTCTGTTACATGTTCTTAACAACATTTCAGCTGAATATTAATTATAAATGTTAATTAGATGTGTTCAATTCCTGTCTAGCGATGTGTGTTTATGATTTCCTCTATTACAGGCTGAACTGGCCTGAAATTAGAGGCAACCACTTTAAATCACATTCCAAAAATGATGCTACATACATGTAGCATGAGCATTTATTTATTTAATTTAAATTAAATTACATAATTTTAAGATTTAAGGCAAACAGAATGATCTGACTTTAGCTTTGTGAAATTATGCAAAAAATGCAAATTTACTCTCTGACAGCAGGTGGCGCTTGTGGAACAGCTGCAATTCAGTGTTTCCTTGGTTACCGCTGTAAACAAAGCAGCACTGTGCTTTTAAAACTCTGGGTGCATCTTAATCAGCTCCCTAGCTCCCGAGCTCATGAATCAGTAGATCGTGTACACGAATTCGGTCACTGGTAAGTTCCCTGACTCACTGCACGCTGGGACAGTGATCACTTGAATTCCAGTGACATGATTACGTACAACGTCAACGGACAATATAGTAGAACGTCATCAAACAAGAGACAGGACCGAATCTCTTTTTGATATTATTTTTTATTCTCTTTAAACACATCGTTCTGTTACATGTTCTTACAACATTTCAGCCAAAAATAAATTATAAATATTAAATAAATGTGTTCATTACCGGTCTAGGGATGTGCGTTTATGTTGAAATATACGAATTATGTTGAAAAAAACGGTTTGTCTTTTCAAATCTACTGTAGCGAGTCATTATATTTATCGAGTTGGCTCGTGTGATTTATGTTTTATGCTTCAGAAATGTGACGTTATTTCCGGTAAGGAAGCAAAGTGAGCTCCGATGCGCGCTAGTTTTTGCAGTGCATTGTGGGATTTTTCAGGGAGCGAACGTTCCAGTGCTTTGGAAGGATTTCGCGATTGAGACAGTCCTTAAAATGGCCGACTCCCTGATCAGTGCCCTGACTACTGAACAAGGGAGCTGATTGAGACGCAACATATGTCTTTGGTGAGGATCATCTCGGAAGTTTTGTGGTGATCAGGGTTGCCAGGTATTACAACAAAACCCGCCCAATTGCTACTCAAATCTAGCCCAAAACTAGCCCAATTGCCATGTAAAAATCGCGTTCCGGGGCATAAAATACACGTTTTTTTTTTTTGCGGGGTTCCGCTGGTAACATTTGCATTCCAGGGGGATAAATATCACGTTATTGGGGACGCTTTAACCAGCGGACATGAAAAACAACCAGCGGCAACAGAGTTAAAGTAGCCCAATTCCACGGGAAAACCGCAGACTTGGCAACATTGGTGGTGATATGCTTTAGATATTTTGTTTATCCTATTCATCTGCAATGCCTTTTGTCAAATATATGCAAATTAGCGGAGACGCAGAGCGTAGAAAGGCATTGTTACTCGACAGATTCTCAACATTTCCCAACCCGACCTGATATTTTGATTTTTTATTTGTTTAACAGGGAAAGCTGTGCGCAAACAGAAACACACACACACACGCGCGCGCACACATATATAGGCTACATAGGCTATATTCATTTATTTAAAAAAATAAAAATCCCCAGAAAAAAGGGCACTATCTCTCGAGGAAGAAAAAGGGTGCTCAAAGTGCTCAAGCCCCCTTTGATGTCTATGTGTGCACATGCCTGCTCTACGGGTTCATTCATTCATTACATGATTTGAATTGATTAGAATCCAAGCGAGACAAGGACAATCAGAGTACGTTAATATTAAATAATATTAAATGTAAACCAAATTAACAGTTAAAACCATTTATCATTCATTCACGTGTGATTTGTGGCATGCATATTTTTTGTATAAAAATAGGCTACATTAAAAATTTCGTTAACTTACTCATCCAGAAACTCGAGAACATCGATGGACATCTCCTCCACTGCCGAGTCCACGCTAGAAGACACGCTCTCCTTGTCAGATTCATCCCATTCTTCCGTCTTGTCTTGTTCTTCATCACTATTCACGCATTCCTCCGACCCGTCCATAACGATAGCAACCTTTTCCGTATTGCACGCATCCATCGTTAAATGCAGCGCTGCAACAAATAGAGCAAAAACACCAAGGGGAGATTTATTTTTGTTTTTTTGGAGAATGCAATAAACCCGTTAACCACTGCGATCGCACTTTCATTCGCTATTGTTCTTGTCTGTCATGACGTATCGTCATATCATTGGCCAGCTCCGCCCCGAAAAAACACCAGGTATCCCGTAAAGAGATTTGTGGTCCTGATTGGATATTTTGAAATCAAGCGCTTAAAGGTCCCCTGAAATGCTTAGAAACACGCAGTATGGCAAGCCGTTTTAGCATTAAATAGGGGGGCGTGGCAGAGTCTTAACTTTGATAAAGAATATCTCTTTGGTTTTGAGACTTTAGTCTTTGCAACTTCAGGGATCTTATCTATGCACAATCAGCTTGTAACACTCTAAAGAGAAAGGAAAACTTGAAATCGCATCATATGACCCCTTTAACAGATGTACATAAAGTTAAAAGCATATCTTCAAAGGTTATTTCGGTGACGAGCGATTAACGTGTCCCAGGTGTATGTCTCCATCCTTGCGTCAAGATCTTCATATATTCTCTCTCCTGGTTGTCATCCTGAATCTTCCTGGAGACTGCTCCTGCAACAGACTGATACCAACACACAAACATAGAGAAACCCTTATCGAGGTCAAGTAGCTAGGCTCTTACTCTTATCAGGTACTGTTCCCAAAACACAGACAAGGAGTGCAGCTTCTCAGAGGGAAAAAGATGAGAAACTTGGACAATATTCATCTTCATTCTTTAATATACAGACATAGAAAAAGAAAACAACCTACATTTTCTGAGAACACGTTGATCAGGTAGACGAGAGGCCCTGCTGCCTTCTATGATATATATATATATATATATATATATATATATATGCAGAGACCTTTAACCTAAGAGGAGTAAAATGGAATTAGCAAAGGAAGAAGCTTCTCACGAACAAGAGAAAAGCACATTCCAATAACATGGTTCATCTTAGTGACTATTACTAGTATATGGTAAATAATTGTATTCAATCACTAATAATAAATGAAATTAAATACTGATTAATAACTTGATCAATAATCATGCAAAAAGATAAACTTATAGATATTTTATGAAGGCCGTGATGAATCCAGGGAATCCACTCCTTCAGTTAGTAGATTTAGACACACATGATTATCATCGACTTGTTTGCAACTCTACGCTAATTTGTGCTGCTTTTGGTAGATTGCTTTGGTTATAATCTCACACGCTAATTTGCCCCGTTTAGTAAATCTGGCCCACAGTCTCTACAGTGGCACGCACTGTATAAAGGTTCTAGATCATGTAATTTTCCCAACTTTAAAATCTGTTTTTTGGAGTTTTTGTCTACTGAACATTTCTTAATTTGGAAAGATGTTTGTCAAAAATGAAACATGTTGTGGACCCTGACTAAAGCTCCATTGGCCGTTTGGCCGTCTATTTACACAACCTGAAAAAGCAAACTTATGGAAATGGGATTCAAAGTGCATCATCTCGGTGTAAACTACAGAAATGAATTTTTGAAAATGGTGATGTCATGTACATGCATATTACGCGTTCAGTCTATAGGAATGAGTATGTGCGCAGATGCGTAGTGTTTCTTTACAAAATAACATTGCCAACTACTGGCCTGATAGGCATAATGCAAAGTTTAAGTTACTTTCGTGGATCCATGTAAAAGGGGATTGCTTTGACAAAGTTGTCATCTATATGCGAAACATTTAAAAAATGCGAAAGAATAACTCTTCCGATTTTAGTACACTGTTGTTGTGTAAACGTACCCTTAAAGGACAGTTCAATCTGCCAGCCAAGTTTAGGAAAATGTTGATGGCAAGTATTTCTTTCCTAGGATTGTGGTGTATAAAGACGACATGTTTAAAGCTGTTGTGCCAAGATCTGCAAAACCTTTTAACTTTCAGCAAGCCTACAAACTTTCAGAGGAAATGGTGAGTATATTAATTACAGTACATATGTCAATTTGTATATGTCAATTTGAGGTTTGCATAGATATAAAGTCAATAATATATTGATATGATTGATCTACGGCAGGCCCTGGGCATCAGTGATCATTACCCAGTGGAGGTGAGTCTGAAGAAGTCGTCTGCGGCAAAGACCAGCGGCAAAGCCAAAACCAAAGCACAGAAACGCAAAGCATGATGGGATACCAATGCACAGTGTATGGGATCTTAACTTCACTCTACTGAAGGAGAGATGCTACCTCTTCATAAGGAAATTCAGGCCTTAAAATAATTCAAAAGCAGTTATCCTTTCATGCTAATTTAATGAAATTATTTCAATAAAGTTCACAAGCTTATAAACGTTTGAAATGACTGAAATCTCAAAATAAACTTTTCATTTTTAAGTATTTAATGCCATTTTCCCAACAAGCTTATTATTTCATTCCTAAAGTGTTAATAAATGTGTTAGTTTGCACAGCTGGATACAACCATTATGATAGAAAATGAATTTCAAAAATACTATTTTAACAAATGAACTACTGTACATCACAAACAACGAATTGGCAGGCAAACAAACGATAAATGACAAACCACTGCTACTGTGTAACAATCATGCCTCGAACGCCTCTAGCAAACTCTAATTTAGCTTGTGGCAACAAGCATGTCAAGTCCGTTAACATCAGCTTCTGCGTTACCAAACAGAGATCAATTACAGCAATCCACTTACCTTACTAAGGAATCAAGCAAACTTTGTAAGCAAGAAAGCATTCACAAAATGAGATTAAATGTGCAAGAAGTCTTAAAGATGAACTAGAACAATTAGGTAACAATGAATGTTGGTACCACCATTTTGTTGACTGGTTTACAAGTGGTCAAAAAGTAGTCTGTAGATGTATGACATCCTCCAATAGTCCATCTCAGCAGATCCATGTAGATCATCAGTGACAGGAGAGGTAAAAATGGCACGGCTGCTTCTTTCCTTCCTGACATTTGGGCACATACTGTATAATTGTTCACGGGACTGATTTAAAAAAAAGAGCCATTCAAAAAACTGCGAGCCAGGTGTTTGGACATGTCTGAAGATCAGCTGCGTCAACTGAATCATGAAGATCCAAGGAAAGGTGAAACACAAAAGAGTAAACGAACATTAACTTGTGCCTCTCTTTGTGTTAATAAAGCTTAATTAAAAATGTGTAGAAACTCACTGATTAAAAAGGGGATCAAGTCCATCGATAAACATCTCTTGTGATTTGGAGTCTGGAATCTTCTCATCTTCATCAATACTGTTTACAAACTCCTCTAAAAGTCACTAACTTTCCTAGCCTTCCTTCTTTTATCAAAGAATAAACAGCGATGGAGAAATTTAAGCAGGAGTGCGCTCTATTTACAACAGCTGTTACATTAATGTAAGATTAATATAAGACCGAGAATAATCTAAGATTAATGTTGCACAAATTAAAGGGTTAGTTCACCCAAAAATGAAAATTCTGTCATTAATTACTCACGTTCGTGTTGTTCCAAAGCCGCAAGACCTTCGTTCATCTTCGGAACACAATTTAAGATATTTTTGATGAAATCTGAGGGCTCTCTGACCCTCCCATAGACAGCAAGGTAACTACCACGTTCAAGGTCCAGAAAAGTACCAAGATGATCGACAAAGTAGTCCGTGTGACATCAGTGGTTCAACTGTAAAGTTACGAAGCTACGAGAATACTTTTTTGCACAAAGAAAACGACTTTATTCCACATTTTCGTCTCTACTGCGTCACTTGTGGACGCGCGTTCACGACAGTACCATATACGCGAGCGTGTGGCGGCGCCGGCGTTGACCCAGATCCGGCGTGATGACGTCATTACGCCGGATCTGGGTCAGCGCCGCCACACACTCGCGTCATGATACTGTCACAGTAGAGACGAAAATGTGGAATAAAGTCACTATTTTTCATTTTTATTTTTCAGAATTTTCATTTTTGGGTGAACTAACCCTTTAAATTGTGCAATTAGGAGATTAAAGGCATAATGTTAACGTGAATAAAGCAAGAATATTTAGCATGAAATACACTATTACGAGAAGCGGCATGATTAAAAAAATGTTAGACATTGCTTCTAAATCAAAACCTTTCGAAAATCAAGTACATATACAAGAAAAAGTAGCGATCAGAATCAAAGAATTCAACAATTTCTTTTTTTTACATCCGATTTCATTTAACGGAATTGGTTACGGATTCTTTATTTGATTAGATCGATTCTATAACTACTCACAAATGCAATATAGTATACGTTTTGTGCATTTTATTAAATATTTGCACGTTTTTAGTAACTACACTAAATTAAGTCTCACAAGGGTTAACTACGCATAAAAAACAGTAACAGATTCCAATTCATTGGTTGCGCTGTACTGTATGTTTGATGTTGCAAATGTTATTCCACTCTCATTTTCCTCTCTCATCGTATTCGATTCACACTACTATGCAAATGTCATGCTCCAATTCTGAGTATTGTCTTTCTTGTGTTTGATGTTGCACTCATCTACGAGGTTCACACTAGACTCAAAACCCCAGTACTTATGCCATTAATCGGTCTCATTCTCGCTACTGCTATCTGGGTAATGCCAGCTAGTGAAACAGTCGCGCTTAGGAACGAAGCACAATGCCACATCACAAGTCACGCACATGACTGGAGTTTTGCTGTGGCACATTTTGCATTTCCGTCTTCCAAAAGTGCTGTCCCCATTGATGTACTTGGGCAAATGGGAGTAAGGGGTAAGAGTCGCGCGTACTTGTGCAGGGGCAGATGCAAGCTCAGTTACAAGTGCCTCCCGGAAGGCCTTCTGGGTCAGAGGCTTCTGGTTCTTCATCTTGGCCATCTGCTGGTGCAGAATGAAGGCATTGACTACAGCGATGTCCACAAAGTGGTAAAAGAAGGACCGATACCACCTTTGTGTTTTATGCAGAACTTTGTAATATCCTATAAGTGCGTCAGACAGATCCACTCCTCCCATGTGCCTGGAATAAGGAAAATTCATTACAAGATGCGTAATTTAAAAGGTACAAGAACAAACTTCACACCACTGAATAAATCTACTAACTTGTTGTAATCCAGCACTGCGGCTGGAACTGGGAAATCCTGAAAGGCCCAAACTCCATCGGCTCCTTTAACATTCCTCTTAATGGAGTCTCCATTAAAGGCTTTATGAAAGGTGGAGCACATCAGCACGTCCCTCTTGTCCTTCCACTCAACACACAGCAGACCGTCTTCCCTAAACCAGCGAATATTGCCACGAGGAGCCTGCGTCTTTGAGTGGCCAATGCGGTTTGCGCGAACGGTGCCACAAGCCCAGATCTTTTTACGGAGCAGGTCTCTGAAGAGTTTGGGACTGGTGTAAAAGTTGTCAACAAACAGCTTGTAGCCGCTTCCCAACAACCTTTCATTTGCCAGAATCATGACAGAGTCATAGCTAATACCTTTGCTTTCCTCTGATTTTGCCTTTCCTTCATAAATGAAGAAGTCCCATGTGTAGCCACAGAGGGAATCCGCCAGTACAAAGAGTTTGTACCCCCATCTTGTAGGTTTGTTTTTCATGTATTGTTTGAGTCCGTTTCTAGCCTTTGATGCCACCATTCGTTCATCAATGGAGATGTTCTGAAAGGGATGGAAAGAGGCTCTGCAGGCATCCCTAATGTCCTGGTACAGCGGTTTGATCTTACACAGGCGGTCGTATTCAGGTGTTCCCCTCTTCTTGTCATTCTCTGCATCCACTTTGGGATCACTAATATGGAGAGCCCGAGAGATTCTAAGAAATTTCTTCCCAGTCATGATTCGTACAGGATACGGCAGACAGTATAAGTCAGATTTTTTCCAGTAGTCTGTCAGCAAGAAGCATTTCAGCACGCCCATATAAATCACCAGTGCTATGAATGACTTTAGATCTTTTATTGTAATATTCTCCCATGGCTGCTTCTTTCCTTCTTGACGCATGGCTCCATACACATTTGTATGTTCTTAAACTGTCTTTAGCACTGATTTTGAAAAGAACAACTCAAAATACTGCAGAGGACTGCATGATGCACCGAAGATTAACTGTGGGCCGGGTGTGTTTTTAGGTCTGAATATTGGATGTGCCGGCTCAATATCAGGCTCATCTGCACTTCTCCACTTCTCTTCTGAGATGCTTTTGGAGAAAGGTAGGGATCGTCTCGTGCTGCTTTTCCTAGCTTTCCCTTTGCCACTTTGCACAGAGGCAGGTGATCCAGACCTGCAAGACTTTGCTGGAGATGGTGATACAGAAGACAGACCAGATCTCTTCTT